GTCGGACCGAAACGTCGTCGTAAGCTTCTCTCTTTTATGTGCGGGTTATTTGTGTAACAAATATTAGAGCCAGCAAATAAACCCCCCCCCCCTAAATTCTACCAATACGACATTTGTCTTTGCAAACATACAGGGTCTAAAGCCGTCAAAAAACAACAAAATTTCTTGCATCAAGGGACTGCTCACGGAGTCAAATGCAATGTCTGCAGCATTCACAGAGACCCACATAAAGGATCACTATGACAACGATATATGGATCCCAGGTTATAACCTATTCCGATGCGACAAACTAAACAGGCAACAAGGGGTTGTTGACCTGTATGTCACAGAGTTGCTCATTTGCACAGAACTACTAAACACTTTAAATGATGTAGTCGAAGTTTTGGCAGTAAAGATCGAAAACCAAAACCTTGTCATTGTGGTAGTATACAAGCCTCCAGATGCAACTTCCCAGGAATTCCAGGAGCAGCTTGAGAAAATTGACCACTGTCTGGAAAATCTCCCAACTCCTGCCCCAAACATCTTACTACTAGGAGATTTCAACCTGAGACACCTAAAATGGTCTCGGTGAAGGTCTCTTCACGAAATTCAATTTCAATAACAAAAACATACAATGGGATCAAGTAAACCATGTCCTAAATGACACAAGCTGGGAAGATATCCTAAACAACACGACCTGAACATCTGCCTTGAAAAAATGAATTCTATGGTTCTTGAGATCTGCTCAAGACACATTCCATTAAGAAAAAAAAGAGATGATGTAAACTAGAAAGAGACGTTCCCGATACAGAGGAAGGCGAAGAGTCACAGAACTGCTGAGTGGGGTCAATATATTTGAAATATGGAAGAAGCACTAGTCAATGAAATTGCAAATATCGAACTTAAGCTGAAGGAATCTTATAGGAGACAAGAATCACAGGAAGAACTAAAAGCCATAAAGGAAACTGAAAAAAAAATACTTCTTCTCTTAAGCCAAATCTAAGGGAAAATCAACATCCAGTATTGGGCCCCTGCTTAGGCAGGATGGGACATACACAGATGATAGCCAAGAAATGAGTGAGATACTAAAGTCCCAATATGACTCATTGTTCAGCGATCCACTGCCCACTCTAAGGGTCGACAATCGAAATGAATTCTTTATGAACGAAACCCAAAATATGGTCATCTCAAAACTCTCGGATATTATCATAACTCCACAAGATTTTGAAGAGGCAATAAATGACATGCCCATGCACTCTGCCCCAGGCCCAGACTCGTGGAACTCCGTGTTCATCAAGAACTGGGCACAGGGGTCATCCCTCACATCCCAAACAACAGACATAGCCCCACTCCACAAAGGTGGCAGTAAAGCAAATGCAAAGAACTACAGACCGATAGCACTAACGTCTCATATCATAAAAATCTTTGAGAGGGTTCTAAAAAGCAAGATAGCCAACCACCTAGATACCCATCAGTTACACAACCCAGGGCAACACGGGTTTAGAGCAGGTCACTCCTGCCTGTCCCAGCTACTGGACCACTATGACAAGGTCCTGGATGCTGTAGAGGATAAACGAAATACAGATGTAGTATTCACAGACTTTGCTAAAGCTTTCGATAAGTGATCAGGCCCTGATCCACCATGAGGCCTGGTCTCAGACCGGGCCGTGGGGGCGTTGACCCCCGAAACCCTCTCCAGGTAAACTCCAGGTAATGACTGATCACATTTTGCTGGTCAGGAGCCCTGTGCATACATGTCTATTATGTTGTGATCTGAGTGTATTGTCTTTGATACGGTTATATTACGTATTAGATCGTCGTTGTTAGCGAAGATGAAGTCCAGCGTATTTTCTAGTCTTGTAGGCTATAATATTTGTTTGTTTAAGGTGAATTTGGTGCAGAGATTTAATAGCTGGTGTGTGTGTGAATTTTCATCTGAGCTGCCTCCTGAGAAGATCTCTGCTAAAATCCTGAATTAACTCACACATAATTGAGCAGAACTGTGGCACATCAAAAATCTGAATACACTTACTGATGTTGATGTACCTCGAGACAAGTGGGACTTTAGGAACAGTTGGTCGCATCAAAGTCCCTCCTTCGACACCCACCTTCTCAGCTTCCCAAAACTCACACTCAAAACTTTTGCGGTTCCTGAATAATTACTAGAAAAAATTAAGCTAGTAACACTGGCAAATTATGTGTAGACTGTTTAAAATTATCATTAAAGGCTATAATTATTACAACATATTCCTAAAAATTAATACTTACCCAGTTATTCCATAGGCTTTGCATCGTAACGCCTCCCTAACGGTAGACAATTAACATTGGCCAATAAATAGTGAGAATTAAAACTCACTGGGAGACGAAAACTATTAATTTCCACGCGATAGACGGTTCTTGATCTTGTCAGCACCGCGTCTCAGTTTTCTATTATTATCTGCCTTAATCTGAAATATATAGTATACATCGGTATTATTCCAGATGCTCTCTATATTAACTCATTTTCCAAAACCCAACTTACTCTGATATTATTCCTATTAGCTACGATTAGTTATGATTCAATTTACACCAGTCATTAGAACAGCACACATTACGCCATTATCCCCGGCTACCCTCGAATGTTGGCTCTTTTTGTGACTTGACATTTTCTAAAAAAAAAGTCACATCAACACTACACATTTACACTCTGCTATGTGAACACTTATATCATCATTATTATTATTATTACACTAATTACAGGAACATTATAAAAAAATTGCAATATTAAGGGGAGGGACACGAACAGAATGGGAAGGGGAATATGGGGAAATGCAGTTAAAAAATTCTGCAGTAAAGGTGGAAGTTTCAGAGAGCAACAATGTCAGTCATCAGATAAATGTCAAAGCAAATTCTGATGGAATGGAGAAAAATTACCCTGTTTATTTCCTTCTCCATATTCTCATAGTCTAGCTTAAAGATCCAGAGTTTTAATCTGGCAGGAAGTTCAGATATGGACGACAGCATCATAAGAAACTGTTCTGCCGACCCCAGAGGAAGGTACGGGGTTGCAAATGGTGGCTTCTTGAATCTTGTGCTTCTCCTCTGGTGTTGGTAACATTGTAGTCAATAATTTCTGCAAGATAAGAAAATAAGTTATTCAGTGCAAAACACTATGTCATTTTTAGCTTCTGGGTATACCTAGAGGGGGTTTCGGGGGTCAACGCCTCCATGGTCTGGTCTATGATCAGGCCTCATGGTGGATTAGGGCCTGATCAAGCAGGCTGTTACTGCTGGCTGCACATAGACTGATGTTGGAGCCATAGCCTGGCTGGTCATGTACTGACTTTAGGTACCTGTCCAGTGCCTTCTTCACGACAGCCAGGTGTCTCTTATTCAATCAGGATCTCATGACCAATAGAAATAAAATAGGCCTAATTATTATTAATAAAGTCTAGAATAAATTATTACGAGGATACAAGCTGACATCTGAATAGTGTACAGGTGTACAGGTGCAGAGGGGTGCTAGTATACAGGTGTAGTAGGGCCTCACCTTATGGCGTTCCACTAATTCGGTGATTTCAAATTAGGACCAAAACTTGCTATATGGTGAGTGGTCTTTCAAATATGGCATGCCACACCCAGTTGCTTTACATTCTCTGTCAGCTCATCTCTCTATTATGTCTGGAAACTTAACAAAATTTCAAGTGTTTTAAAGTTATTGAATATTTTATATGTACTCTGATAATTATACTTATGTATAATTTAAATCATACCTGCACACAAGTCTGTGTCTCATTTGCCAAATGTTAGTTGATAAAACCGCAAATGACAATTATTCTAACTCCATCACGGGACTAATCACATAAAACATTCCAAACATTTTAAGTAATCTTAAGCCCCACACAAGTACGACAGTGCACAACGTGCATTCGTTGCAGAGGTCAATTCAGAGCTCCTGGCCCTGCATGTGTGTTTGTCAGATACCATCTAGTAAAGATTTTCCATAAACTACAGTGTAGAGACACCATCATAGCAGTCAGAGCATAAGTCCATTCAGTCGAGTCCACAAGGCTGGGCAAACACCAGTCCACTTACTCCTTAATATGAGGAAGGAAACCTCTTCCTCAGACATAATCCACGTCAGGGAGTTCAGAAATATGAGTCCAGTACACTAAACACAAGTAAAGGCAAACAACACCTACACCAAGTCAAAGTAAATCCCCAGACACATAATGTACTCCATGTTATGGTTGTGGACGGTAATAAAAGCCAAAGTAACAAACAACACTGTTTTCACCAGTTCCCAATAACAACACCAAACAAAAGACGATCGACATGCACAAAATAACATAGGAAATAATTATCTTTCTGATCCCAACACCTTACACTGTAATCTCTCATGGTGTCGACTTTCTCTAGCATTTCTGATATTCCGCCAGATGAATTTAAAGGTTTTCATGGAGCTGGCCATTCTTGAGGTAATATTCTGATACATTCCTTGTAGACAGTGATTCAGTTTATCAGGGAACTGATTAATTACCATCTGTCAAAGACTCTTTTCAGTACAAACTTGGTGGTGAGCTTCTTGGTAGAGACGTTAAGATATGTATTATTAAATTAATACTGCTTCCATAGAGAAGGGGAAAGAGAAATGAGGAGGAGGAGAAGCATAAACAGCAGCATTACCAGAAGCAGAAGAATTTATTTAGATCATTAACCCAAATGAATAGTAACCCAGGATAACCCTGTAAAGTCACTATGGCTTATCATATCCTCTAAATAATTATTAAATCTAGAATACATTAATTAAACAAGCCCTATTATATCTCCTTTATAGCATAACAAAATATTATCTCCTTTATAGTACAATAATAATAAGGTATTAAAAGGACCCCAATGGAAATAAGTCACTCTGTCTGACATTTTTGGGTTATCCTGGGTTCTTTACACATATGCTACCATGGATGATAATCTATGTAACGGTGTTTGTGTATATCTGAATAAACTTACTTACTTACCTTAATTCTCCGTTTTCTGTTAAGGTTCGCCAACGAAACAGTGTACGTGGGACTGAGTTATTACGGGCCTGCCCTGGGCCACAATGAGTACCTCTCATTCTTCCTCTCTAGCGCCGTTGAGGTGCCCTCTTATCTTCTCTGTTGGATCGTGATGGATCGCTGGGGCCGCCGCTGGATTCTAGGAGTGGGCATGATCATTGGTGGCATATTCTCTGTCTGCACTGTTCTCGTTCCTGAAGGTGAGGGAGAAGACAAAATGCACCGCATACTAGTATCTTTCCTCTGTGCTTAACAATATGTAAACATGTAAACTACATTTTATATACTGCAGAAAAGAACTAAAGTTGTAAAAGTATTTGATAAGTAAATTTCTTTAGGTACAGGCACACATAAGTACAAGTGCCATACATAGTGTAAATTACCTTGAATAATGATAATGCTTTATTTCTTTGAGCATGCGGATAATGTAGATACGCGAGTGATGAACCCACTAGTCAATCACATGAGATAAGTCCTAGTCAGGAAATTTATGGAGGATTTTTTCAAGGAGAAAAATAATTTATACGATTAACCCATACGGATTAGTAAGCTAGAATAACTCATGAAACGTATCCAGTGTGACTCATTTCCATTGTGAGTCCTTTATACGATCCACTTCCTCAGGAATGGATACTACACATAACAGTCGGAAAAACACTCAGGTACACCGAGAGGTGTATGTATCAGGGTATATATGCTGAGTATTTACTATAATCCCTATTAATAAGGTGACATCCAGCGGTAATGATCCTCGTCGCTCGTGGCCTGGTGGGCAAAGCTATTGCTTCACACGCTGAGGGGTCTGGGTTCGATTCCGGGCAAGGGAAGAAGCCATTTAGAGCTATCAGAAGTTTCAGCAACATTAACTGTACATAAAGTTCATTTATATGTTAATATCACAACATTTCCTCTTCCCATCTTACACTACCTAGCAGCCCATATGTGTCCAGCTTTGCCCCGCAGTACGAACAACACTCACTCTGAGACCACCATGATGGCAATAAAGGGGATGTAAATAGCGTGCTGAAAATTTCCAGCCAAGACAGGACTCGCAGCAATGGTTTCAAGTTGGAAAAATTCAGATTCAGGAAGGATATAGGAAAGCACTGGTTTGGTAATAGAGTCGTGGATGAGTGGAACAAACTCCCGAGTACAGTTATTGAGGCTAAAACGTTGTGTAGTTTTAAAAATAGGTTAGATAAATACACGAGTGGGTGTGGGTGGGTGTGAGTTGGACCTGACTAGCTTGTGCTGCTGGGTCCTGGTGCAGCGCTCCATCCTTGTGTGGAGGTGACCAGACTGGGTGGGTCATTGGGCTAATCCGGGGGGATGAGTCATTGGGCTAATCCGGGGAGGGGGTCATGGACCTGCTCCGCATGGGTCAGTAGGCCTGTTGCAGTGTTCCTTCTTTCTTATGTTCTTATTATTTTATATCTACTTCACTGAATTCCTAGCTAATCCATAGCTAATTCACTGAATGTCCTGTCTTCTGAAAAGGCTTTCATAAAAAAAGTCATCAAGCACTGTTTCTATTCTATTTCTAACAAAAGCTTGAGGACTTTTGTTAGAACGGTCCAAAAAAAATTAAGTTGTGAGACGCGCATCAACCAAGTAACTGTTGCAGCGTAGGTTCGCCTGGCAGACCTATGATTGGCGTTTCGACACCTTAATGGGGAATCTTTCGAGACTGTGCATCATTGTACGTCAGGCCCATGTTGGAGTATGCAGCACCTGTATGGAACCCACAACTGGTCGGGCACGTCAAGAAATTGGGGAGAGTACAGAGGTTTGCAACAAGACTGCTCCCGGAGCTAGGGTAGGTGTCCTGCGAGGAGAGGTTAAGGGAAGTCTACCTGATGACACTGGAGGGCGGGAGAGATAGGGAGGACGTGATAACGTCATATAAAATACTGAGAGGAGTTGACAGGGTGGCTGGGGACGGGATGTTTCAAGTATGGGACACCAACAAGGGGTCGCAACTGGAGGTTTAAGACTCAGATAAGTTACAGGGATGTTAAGAAGTATTCCTTCAGTCGTGGAGTTATCGGGAGGTGGAACATTCTGGAGAGTGATGTAGTGGAGGCAGGATCCATACATGGCTTTGGGAAGAGATATGATGGAGCTCATAGAGCAAGGAGAGAGTGGACCTATTAGCGACCAGCGGAGGGGCAGGGCTCTGTGACTCGACCCCTGCAACCACAAGTAGATGAGTACAAATAGATGAGCACACACACACACACACACACCATACACACTACACACACACACACACAACATATATATATATATATATATATATATATATATATATATATAATATATATATATATATATTATATATATATATATATTATATATACATGTTTTACGTGATGGTAGGATTGCTGGTGTCTTTTGTCTGTCTCATAAATATGCAAGATTACAGGCATGTCTTGCTACTTCCACTTACACTTAGGTCACACTACACATACATGTACACGTTTATTTATACACACTCATCTGAGTTTTCTTTTATTTTATCTTAATAGTTCTTGGTCTTATTACTTTTCCTTTTTTTATCCATGGGGAAGTGGAATAAGAATCTTTCCTCCGTAAGCCATGCGTGTTGTAAAAAGTCAACTAAAATGCCGGGAACAATGGGCTAGTAACCCCTTTTCCTGTAAAGATTACTAAAAAGAATAAGAAGAAGAAAATTGTCAAAGTGGGAAGTCTGAATGTGCGTGGATGTTGTGCAAATGATAAGAAGAGATGATTGTGGATGTTATGAATGAGAAGAAACTGGATGTCCTGGCTTTAAGTGAAACAAAGCAGAAGAGGGTGGGAGAGTTTCAATGGAGAGGAATAAATGGGATTAGGTCAGGGGTTTCAAATAGAGTAGAGCTAAAGAAGGAGTAGCAATAATGTTGAAGGATAAGCTATGGCACGAAAAGAGGGACTACAAATGTATAAATTCAAGGATTATGTGGAGTAAAATAAAGATTGGATGTGAAAAGTGCGTTATAGTAAGCGTGTATGCACCTGGAGAAGAGAGAAGTGTAGAGGAGAGAGAGAGAGATTCTGGGAAATGTTGAGTGAATGCGTGGGGAGTTTTGAATCAAGTGTGAGAGTAATGGTGGTTGGGGATTTCAATGCTAAAGTGGATAAAAATGTTATGGAGGGAGTAGTAGTAAATTTGGGGTGCCAGGGGTAAATGTAAATGGGGAGCCTTTAATTGAGCTATGTGTAGAAAGAAATTTGGTAATAAGTAATACATATTTTATGAAAAAGAGGATAAATAAATATACAAGGTATGATGTAGCACGTAATGAAAGTAGTTTGTTAGATTTATGTATTAGTGGATAAAAGGTTGATGGGTAGGCTCCAGGATGTACATGTTTATAGAGGGGCAACTGATATATCGGATCAATATTTAGTTGTAGCTACAATTAGAGTAAGAGGTAGATGGGAAAAGAGGAAGGTGACAACAACAAGTAAGAGGGAGGTGAAAGTGTATAAACTAAGGGAGGAGGAAGTTCGGGCGAGATATAAGCGACTATTGACAGAAAGGTGGGCTAGTGCAAAGATGAGTAGTGGGGGGGTTGAAGAGGGTTGGAATAGTTTTAAAAATGCAGTATTAGAATGTGGGCCAGAAGTTTGTGGTCATAGGAGGGTGGGGCCAGGAGGAAAGAGGAGTGATTGGTGGAATGATGAAGTAAAGGGTGTGATAAAAGAGAAAAGGTAGCTTACGAGAGGTTTTTACAAAGCAGAAGTGTTATAAGAAGAGCAGAGTATATGGAGAGTAAAAGAAAGGTGAAGAGAGTGGTGAGAGAGTGCAAAAGGAGAGCAGACGAAAGAGTGGGAGAGGCACTGTCAAGAAATTTTAATGAAAATAAGAAAAAATTTTGGAGTGAGTTAAACAAGTTAAGAAAGCCTAGGGAAAGTATGGATTTGTCAGTTAAAAACAGAGTAGGGGAGTTAGTAGATGGGGAGAGGGAGGTATTAGGTAGTTGGCGAGAATATTTTGAGGGAAATTTTAAATGTTGAGGAAGAAAGGGAGGCAGTAATTTCATGCACTGGCCAGGGAGGTATACCATCTTTTTAGGAGTGAAGAAGAGCAGAATGTAAGTGTGGTGGAAGTACGTGAGGCATTACGTAGAATGAAAGGGGGTAAAGTAGCTGGAACTGATGGGGTCATGACAGAAATGTTAAAAGCAGGGGGGGGGGGAGATTGTGTTGGAGTGGTTGGTACTTTTGTTTTAATAAATGTATGAAAGAGGGGAAGGTACCTAGGGATTGGCGGAGAGCATGTATAGTCCCTTTATATAAGGGAAAGGGGACAAAAGAGATTGTAAAAATTATAGAGGAATAAGTTTACTGAGTATACCAGGAAAAGTATACGGTAGGGTTATAATTGAAAGAATTAGAGGTAAGACAGAATGTAGAATTGCGGATGAGCAAGGAGGCTTCAGAGTGGGTAGGGGATGTGTAGATCAAGTGTTTACATTGAAGCATATATGTGAACAGTATTTAGATAAAGGTAGGGAAGTTTTTATTGCATTTATGGATTTAGAAAAGGCATATGAGTGGATACTAAATGCTGTAAAGAGCTTTTATGAGGATAGTGAGGCTCAGGTTAGGGTATGTAGAAGAGAGGGAGAATACTTCCCGGTAAAAGTAGGTCTTAGACAGGGAAAGTGTAATGTCACCATGGTTGTTTAATATATTCATAGATGGGGTTGTAAAAGAAGTAAATGCTAGGGTGCTCGGGAGAGGGGTGGGATTAAATTATGGGGAATCAAATTCAAAATGGGAATTGACACAGTTACTTTTAGCTGATGATACTGTGCTTATGGGAGATTCTAAAGAAAAAATTGCAAAGGTTAGTGGATGAGTTTGAGAATGTGTGTAAAGGTAGAAAGTTGAAAGCGAACATAGAAAAGAGTAAGGGGATGAGGATATCAAATGATTTAGATAAAGAAAAATTGGATATTAAATTGGG